TATATATAGAATCCTTTATATTCATGAGTACATGAAAGAAAGAAAAGAATGATTTATAGCAACTCACAAGATATCCTGGTGTACCACAAATGGAATGCAACGGTTGAAAGTTATCAGTAAGAAATCTTGAACCACCAAAATCACATAATTTGAAAATCATCCTGACAAGGAAAGAAAAGCGGAAAAATGTTTCACATGCCAGTATAGAGAATAATTTAGATCTTGCGAACTGCAAAACTAAAACTGATTTCCGGAGAAGTTCGATTTTTTAAGTAAAAAATGTACCTCCCAGATTTATTGAAAATTAATAAGTTTTCCGGTTTTACATCTCGATGTGCAATCTTCCTAGAGTTCAAATATGACAATCCTTTCTCTGAAAAAATCATCAATTTATTGTTAATTTTAACGTTCAGTTGAAAGGACCGTATAAAAGAAATATATAAATGCTAATAATCTATACTTGAAGCGATGCTAAGAAAAATATTAAGTATGGTAAAGTGAAACAAAGCCAAGCAAAGTAAACATCAGATATAAGTAGTTACAAGCAATATAAAAAATTTTTTTATTATGTTTTTGTTCCCTGCTCAGTAGAAAAACAATGAATGGAACTTCGTTAGCTTGTTTCATTTACAAAGTATTATCCTTTGATCTGATTATTTTATGCAGTAATTTTGAGAATCAATATTATATTTATAAGTAGTCATAGTAAAAGAATCAAAATAATTTGAATGTAAATGAAAATTTGACATTGTATAATATAGTAAACTGAAGTGGTGAAAAATATGAAGAAATTAAAGTAGCGTAAAATAAACAAAGCAAACAAGGATACCAAGATGGTCAATTAATTGCAAAAGAATTTGATACGATAGGCCAAACATATTTTCCAATTTCTTTAATTCATCTCGTACACTACCGTCCGCTAATTCCATAATTAGTACCATTTGTTGAGCTTCATTTACATTCTAAAAACTTTAAACATGGTAAAACTTTGTTTTGAATTCATTAAGCATAGAAGAATGAAAAACCTTTAACACACCCAAAAGGTTTAAATATCGTTGTTATCTTTCAAAGAAGCAATATAAAAAAGCTTTTTATTAAGTTTTTGTTCCTTGCTTGCTAGAAAGACAATAAATGGAATTTCATTCCATTGTTTCACTTACAAACTAATATTCTTTATCTGCTTATTTTATGCAGTAATTTTAAGAATTAATATTATATTTGAGAGATTACTTCTGTATCAATTTTATCGGAGGCAATAAATTTGACGATGTATGGAGAATTTATTTGTTGCAAAATTTCAATTTCACGGATATGTTGCTGAGTGTTGAATTTATCGCAGGTTTTGATCGCCACAAATTCGCCTGTTTCTTGATTTCGACCTTTGTGAACCTAAAACCATTTAAAAATATTAATTGTTGTATATGAAATTAGCGGAAATATTAAACAGCTTTGAACAATCAGTTGAAATTAAATCGAAATAATAAGCAACATCGCTGTATAATAGTAAGGTCGCCTCATCCATTTCGAAAGTGATTTCAAAACAATGCAAAAATGAAGTACATTTCTTAAGATATTTTGCTTATAATCCCAATCTAAATTCATTTTCTTAATTCTAAACTCCTAATTTCAAAAATTTCAATTCTGAAATTTACTCGTCCAAAGGCTCCATTTCCAATCAAATCGATGCTACGTTGAAGCCAGAAAAACTTATTCGTATGCTGCACACCTTCCGAAGCTCCAGCCATTCGCTTCTGCAAAATAATTTTTTTTTAAAATGTTTGATGCATAATTTAACCTTTTGAAGTAGTTGATTCTCGTGTTTACATCGTCAACTATTAAGAAGTGTTCGGAATCAATTCTGAAATTTCACCTTATGCGAAACAAATTCTTGGTCAGTTGCAAATAGATTTAAATCATGGCAACAGAACTGCCCGATTACATGAACAAATAAATGAGTTTGAGAAAAAAAAATTGAAATTTGAAGATAGTACAGTAAAAGAAATATGAAAAATATATTACCGCTAAATAATCATCGGACTAATCAATTGTACGAATAATTAATTACATGGATAAATGAGCAAACTGAATGTGTGGAAACTATTTTTCCGTTCAATTCTTTTCCATCCACAATTAAAGATTGAAAGATAGAAATAGAAAAACAAAAAAAATCAAAATACTGTAATAATTCAACTGGCAGTTATTCAATCATATTATTAACGAAAGGCAACGCTACGAAATGCGGAATAATCAGAAAAAGAATTACTTACTTAACAATTATCTGACTTAGACAACTATAGTCATTAATAATGTATTGGTCACTGATAATGGAGAAGTTATATTAAAAAGCATGAATGCAATTATTGTCAAACGAACTCTTACGTTTTTATTCTGGGTTTCACGTCCGAACGACTATCGTCAGGAACTCTCTCTATTTCCACTTTCGTTTTTCATTCTCTTCTTTAATCCAATTGCCCATCATATACTCACCAAATAACTGCACTTTTAAATATGTGAATCGATCTAATTAAGCTTGCCTACTCTCGATGGCAGACGTCTAGCCAAATGATAAAAAAGTCGACTTATTATGTTATCATTTCTCTAGTAACTACTAATCACCTTTCTGTATACGGTGCTCTTTCATGTTTGTCGTTTCAGCTTATTAATCAAACTTAAGAAATGAAAGCGATAAGAAATGTATAGGAAGCTGGGATGATAAGAATCTGACAGTTACATCACGAAGTTAACATGACAATATCGACATGACATTTGGCACGACACTAACACTCCCTATTTTAAATCATTCATATTTCGGGATGAACAGACCACTCCGCACCACTGCAAACAACACCAACTGCCCCCAAACCAGATCCCATTCCACCTCTCATTCCGTAAGAACCGCTAATTTAAATACAGTTGAACTACTACAAATCGATGAGTCAATTTGGTTGGACTTCCGGATATTTCTGACCATCAATTAGCCGATTCGGATGGAAAGAATCTTCTGTCAATCTTGACCTCAACCACAGTAGCACATGCAAGAAAAACCACTCATTCTGTTACAACTAGAAGAACGCACAGAATTGATTGATTGAGGAATGTTGCTCCAATTAGAAAAGACAGTGGAAAAATGCAAATAAAGACGAGAAATTGTAAGAAATGCTAAAATTCGACATCAATCTCATGATATCGCGTATAATGTGCAGATTAGTAGAAAAAAATGCAGACGATATTAGTTAATTTGACCCTGTATGACCTTTAACGATACACACGCACATAGAAAATAAAACTGTGAAAAAAATGATTGTGACTGGCAATGCGAACTTGATTTGCCGTCCTATCTGATCAGAGTGATGTAAATGTGAATATAATAAACTAAATTTAATATCACGTGCTTAAAATGAAGAACACAAACATACCGCCGAACCGTCCTCCAACTCTATTTTTCATTTAATTTACCTGAATTGTGATCGTTTCATAACAACTAGACGATTTATTTTTAATTTCAAGTATTTACCAATTTTTAGCACTCAACAACTTATCAGTTTCAAAGCAAAATTAATTTGAGAATGATTAATTGGTATCAACAAGTCACCAATTTCAAGAGAAAATTTAATTTAAAATGATTGATTGGCACGGAGGAAAATTAGGAAAAACATATTTTGTTAATAATTTTCAGTTCTCCTTTCCATCCAATTCATATAATAAATTTTCATTTCTCCACTACTTTAAATTTTGAACAAATTTCTAATTCAATCCTGAATAGAACAGAAAAATCAGGAAGAAATTTAATAAATTTCTTCCTGATTTTTCTGTTCTATTTTATACTTTCATTTTTATTTATCTTGTTTAGATAGATTAATGCATCGTTAATGACAACGAGTTTATGCATTCGAGTTAGTTTGTTTGTTCAATTTTTTTTTGCTTAATCCGATGTTGGAATGAACAAAATGAAAGGAAAAATTAGCTTTTGTATGATTGCTAAAACTTATTTCAAATATTCTTTTTCACAAGACTTTCAGCAGTTGGCTATTTGATCGAATTAAAAAAAATTTTCAATTTTTGATTTTACTATTTTTTTTGATATTTCTATAATTCGAAAATTAAATGTTTCTTATTCTTAGCAACAATTAAATTTCATCTTTTAGGTAGTATTCAAATTGAAATTTGAACATTTTAGAAAATATTTGTTATGGTCCTGATCAGAAACCAAATAGAAAAAGAATGTTTATTATACAAATCGCTTTGGTACACTTCTCAGTATTGGGAATTTGGATAAAATGATGTAAATAAGAAATGTTCGGGCAATTTAAAATTAGTGTAGAAAGAAATTGGCTGACTAAGTGTGAAAGGAAATTGGAACATACAATGATATTGTATGCCTAATTTGACACATTCCTTCTCGACATTCATAGGAGTTTGATTTCGAATTAATAAATATAGGAAATGTTTAGACGACATTTACATTATAATATTTCTTCTTTAATTCAATATTTTAGATTCCTCCTACTATTCCAGATTTAAGATTTCATTTTAAACTTAAATCGTTTTTTCGTCAAGTCTTTAAAGTTTCATTCTCGAGTAAAATATAGATATTATGAATGTAGCAGTGGCCGATAATCCCATTCAATTCATTCAACTCTTTTTAGTTTTTTAATTTTTAATGAATTGAGTGAAATGGTGATGTTAAAGCAACAATTACCAATATTGTAAATCCATTAACATTAGTAATCTACTATTATCGACAATAGTTTGTTAATTTTTCGTTGTTAATTTTTGATTTTTTTTTTGTTTTAATTTTTGTTAATTTTTTTGATTTTTTTGGAGAAGTTTCAATCAATTCATTACTAATTTTTGATTTTTTGGAGAAGTTTCAATCAGTCTATCGCTAATAGAACAGAGCTGTATTCTTCAGCTAATTACCATTGCTTTATGTCTCATCTTTGACAACTATGTCGTAAGTAACTAAATTTACTTCTAAATTTAAATTTTAAAGAGTTGTGACAATCAATTAATTGTTGTTAGTAATATGAAAAAGTACTCGCACAATTTATATAATAAAAATAGTTTGTCAATTATTGAAGCAAAAATAGTGTATACAATTGTTATTGTACAATATCAATTTTTGTAATTTTAGTAGTTGAGTTTTTTTAAATTTTAATTTGAATTATTTTTTTAGGTTCCAATTCAAATTATGTATTTACTCTTAAATTAAATTTGAAACAAATGTTTAAATTAGTGAACTATTAGATTTATGTAAAATTATATTATATTAGTTGGCATGAAATATTTGAAAAATTTGTTACCATACTTGCAGTTGTTATTACCTTCGATATATAGTCAAACAGCGATCGCATGGGAGAATGAAACAAAACTAGAAAGCGAATAAACTTCCATATCATTGGATGTGAAACGATTCGGCATATCATTAAAGGACAAAGCTGTAGGAATAAAATGTGGACCAATTGCGTCGATTGCAAATTAGAATGTGATGAGAATGAACTTGTTTGTTTCATTTCTAATTGCCCTCATATTAAATCATATATTAAATCACATATCATACTTGTAATATCAATGAACAAAATATATTTCATTTAAGCATAAAAACTTTATGAAAGTTAATAAATTTCAAACTTATTCATTTTAACACTTACAAAAAATTATAAAACTGTTACAGTTATGTCACTGAATTAAATTTTTTAATGAATTTTTTCTTCAAAAAGTTGTTTGTTCTTTCCTTGTTTTTTTTATATTTGTTTTACAAATTTTTGTTTGCTAAATAAATTCAAATAAATAATTTTCCAGTTGCAATGTTACAAAGTATTTCGTAAACTGGAATGCGGATGTCAGCATTTCTTGGATTTAGTCGAGCAACAAATGGAAATTGTATCCGGAAAGAAGATCGTCTATTAAAAAATAAGACAATTTACAGTTATTTTTTGCTCGTTAATTCTTGAAATTTGTTCCATTCTACAAAATGTTGTTAAGCAAAAATCTAAAAATTTACATATTTACTTGATTGTAAAAATCTACCCATTCGCTTCTTTTCTTTTTCTTTGATGTTGATAGAAAATAAAATTAGTATTATCAACAATTTTTAGTAATATTATTAACGATATTATCAATTTATAATTAACAATATAAAACTAATAAAATTAATGTTAATTAATGGTATCGAAAAAAAATCATACTTATCTTACTTGCTTGTGCGATTATCGTTAGAGCAAATATTTAATATATCATTAATCCAAAGTTTGATTTAAGGAAGTATGAAGAATTTAGAAATTGAAAGTTTATAAGAAGTCGTCTCTTTCATCCACAAAATATACCAAGTTTATTATTCAACAATAATTAATTAAAATCAACGATCAGGATAGAAATATAAATGTTACTTATCTATTGTAATAGGTAATTCCATCATTTTTCAGATCCTTCAGTAAAACACTGTCCGATAATGGAAGAATTCAAGAAATGCGGGATGCTCGCGAAGAAACTTGCGGTGACTCAAGAGTGTGTTACGGTTATATACGAGAAAAAAAGAGCGGTTGTTGTGTCCCAGCAAAATTATGCTATCTAAGTAGGGCTCACAATAAATTAAACTTGTTCGGATCCTTCATAAATTAAATTTATTTGAAATTTTTGAAAAGTTTTATATTTGAAATTTGTATGAGGATTTAAACTCTGACACATTGCAGAAAACCTCAGTTTTATATTGTAATTACAATTTAGAAAAGCAAAATAAAACTTGTGGGCCCAATCAAAAATATCGGCAATATGGTACAGTTTGTCCGCAAACATGTGACGGTGTATCGGAAAATTGTGCGCAAAAGTGTGTAGGAGGTTGTTTTTGCAAAAGTAATTTTGTTTGGATCTTGACAAATGCATTCCTAAAAGTAGTTGTCACGGTAATGAATTTAAATATATCTCTTATATGAAAAAAGAAATTTTTAACCATGAAAGACTTTTTTTAGTTCAAGATAAATCCTAATTCATTAGGGTAAAACCATCACATGCTGCATGATCAAAAAAGAATACCACTGAAGTAATGAGATTTTCGTTCAAATTCCAGTTTTAATGTTTTAATCAGCTTTTCATTTCTAATTTCAATTAGCTTTGCTAATTCTGAGAACAAAAAAGTTGCAGCATCAAGAGAGTGCAGTGAAAATGGAATATATTGGAAATGCGGAAATCCGTGTCAGAAAATTTGTGGAGAGCAAAGAGAGAAGGATTGTAATGGTTGTGTAGAGGGATATTTTTGCAAATTAGGTATGTAAGACAAGAAAAAGCTGGTATTTGTGTAAAATCTGAAGAGTGTATATGTAACTTTATCAATTAATGATAAAAAATTTGAAAGGCTTCAAAAATTTTCAAAATCAAAATTAGTCAATCAGTAGACTGTCCTTTCCATAAATATTATTGCAATCTAAAACGAGTTATCGATTTCCTGAAGGATGGAAATCATCTCTGTCAATAGAGAGGTTCAATTTCATAGTAATGTCAAGAAGTGAAATATTCTACAAAATAAATTTAACTAATCAAAATAATAAAAATTCATGTAAATTAAATAAAACTTAAAAAAATTCAATGATCAATGAGATTATTTAACTAAATGCTTTGCGTTACTCCTCGAAATTTTCATTTTTAATAGGAAAATTTGCACACTTTGTTTGCGCAAAAACGAAGAGAATAAAAAAAGGTAAAAATTACACGAATACTATGAATGGTTAGGAAAGCAAAATTTGAAAAAGAAAAATTGAAATTTTTAAATTACTGATTATTTTATAGATTGCTAATTAATTGCGTTAATACTTTTCAAATGAACCGACATTATTTCAATCGAAATTTCAGCTTCTAAATATATAAAATGTTTGGGAAACGAAACGTTCAATATTGTGGTGGCTGTGAAGGAACATGCCAAAATTGTGGTTCACCACGTTATGAATGCTTAGCAGAGGGAAATTATGTTCATGATAAATTTAATGTGTGCATTCATATCAGTGATTGTATTAATAAGTAATTAATAGTTAGTTCCTTTATATTTGTTGTTATTTACACTATTGAATGCAAATATTGTTCTTTTTTCCCATGTATGTTTTTCCTTTTTCAATGAAAAAAGAATCAATAATGAATTACAGTTCGAAGGGGATTTTTGAATGCTTATCGCTAATGATTTTTTTTTTATAAGATTGCTTCGTTGAAGAATGTTTATTTTTCGCATATTTGCATTTTTATTCACTCTTCTATATATTTAGAAACTGGTCATTTATTTACAGCTTATTGTTGTTGTTATTGTTCGCTTTCAAATTTTATTAAAAATGCAAAATTTGAATTTCTTTCGAAAAGTATAAATTCTTTTCCAATCACTCAATTATTTATCTCATCTTTAATTTTCATCAATAAACTGCTTTTCTCTTATTCACAAATAAATGCTTTTCTCTTATTGATTTTTAATGTAAATTTTTTGCAATGAGTTTTTGCCTAATTTACGAGAGATATTTAAAATGAAAATCTTAACCCTATTTTCTTAATTTTATAAGTTTTTAAAATTACGAAAATTATACGACGGTAAGTTTTGTTTATTTGAAAAAATTACAAATCAAACTTCAAATACTAATCGTGCAAATAAAAGAATGAATAAATCATAATAAAGAAAAAAATCGTTAAATGAATAAATACGTATAAGAATGCACATCACTTCCCATGAGAAAAATTGCTCTGAGACGACTGTTTTCATCAAGAGAGTCATAAGGGAGCAATGCAATCTCATTATTTCTGGTCTACTCTATTTTATTAGTATCTGTCTCTCGTACGTCGTTGGGTACGTATGACGCGTCATTAGTTTCTTTTTTATCTAATCTTACATTTAATTAACGGAAACAAGAGAACTAGCCATTTATAAGATGTGTATGGATACAATGGTTAAATTTGTTTATGCAAAAATTGCCGGATATCAAAAAGAAAGGAAAAGGAGGGAAAATGCTTTATTCCCCAGAAAAATTCTTGAGAATTTCCATCCATCTATAAGATGCATGAAATCTTAATATTTTGAATTTTAGGATGTCTTGCTTACATACTCTTCCTGAAATATCCAGCGGAAAACTCGAACTGTAGCTGGATAATTTCCTCTGCACTTCCCGAAAAACTGAACCATATTTTCTGTTAAAAATTAAAATTATAAATTTAAGCCATTACTAAATTTACTGTCCTGACCCAATAAGCATAATTTTTACCACCTGCGCAATTTCGTTGTTTTCAAAATTAGCAAATGCCAATCTACTGTTTTCCTATGTATAACTAATTAAATAAGCATATGTAGATTTTTCAACGAGGTAAAACACTTAGCAAAGATCAGTAAGTTGCAACGTTTTTCCACGACTTCGAAAAGCTGTTGACTTTGGCCTTTATTAAAAATAGAATTTAATATGACTCTGATTGATGCAATATTTCATGTGACACCAATGTCCCTGTTAATTTTCAGGTTATGTTACTCCACACTCACTTTCCAAAACGTCTTGCATCTTGGCCGTGGTACTTTGGTACACGCCATGGATCATCGGCTACACCTGCACCAGGCCGTATTTATTCACAGAGGCATTTATTTGAAGTGAAAAAAAACCAGCTGAAGGTATTTAAATTGTTTTTATTTATTTGTAATAGTACTTCCCAAATTTTTTATTAGATCCAAGTTAGATAATCTATTCTGCGATGAATAATATCTGTTCATGAGAGGCCACAGGCTATATAATTGAGATTTTCTGTTCTCATAGCATCTAGCGCTAGAATTATATATGGGCTATCTGGCGCTCCAAAAAACTATTAATCTAAAAAAAAACTAATACTAAAAAACTATTACTGAAAAACTATTACTAAAAAACTAAAAAAAAAAACTACTAAAAAACTATTACTAAAACTATTACTCCCTTTTTGGTGTATGACTGGAAAGTTCAAAATATTGCAACCATATTCTGCGGGGTTTTGAGATTCAACTAAATATGGAATTCGAATTACCGAATTACCAGCTAATAATCATTATTACTTAAGGCGAATAACCCTGACAAATATGCGTTAGCATCGGATTTCTTGGCACATCGGGCTGATCGTCCAAAAGACTACAAGCCAGACACACCTGCAGGTATTTTTCTAGTCATTTGGAAAATAATGCATTTTAATGGAGTAAGTAGCATTATGAATAACTTTGCCTGCTGTAATAGCATCTCAATAACCTAAATAGTTGTTTTGCCAATAATATTGAAATTGTTTCGTTCGAACAAATAATTTTCTTCCACAAGAATGTTTTTCACTTTTTTCATTTTCTTTTCTTTTTTAAAATTGGGAGCTAACCTATTTATATGATTTACAGGTCGAACTATCATCCCTTCCCCGCAAGAAAAAAAACTTCTCGTTCTAACTAGGATGTATAAACGCGAGGCTGATATTCCGGAATCTATCAGGTAATAAGAAGTTTTAGTCTTTAGTCGCATTAATATTTTTAAAACAAGGAAGAAATGGCTTACAAAGGTTGAAGAAATGAAAAAAAGAAGATACAGAAGACAGCAAATAACAACAACAATTAATTGCCCCTGGGACGGATGTCATTCTTTTGACTGAATAGAGATATTTATGAAATTTTATTACGCCGTACAAGCTTATTGACTTCCGTTTTCATTTTCCTCCAAATAATTGAGTTTAAGAATCTATAATTTATTTTAAATTCTTTTCGCATATTTCAGTGAAGTGCGTATTGCAATGATGAAGGAACGTCTGAATTTTATGGTATCAATTTTCTATGTATCAACAGTGTTCCTTGCATTTTTGACGACAATAAAGACAATGTATCGCACAAGGACTATAGTGGGCGACTCTTAAGATATTTTTGAGATTATATCAGTGACTTGATGGAATTTACAGTGCTTTTGTAAAAATTCTTGCTTGACATAATATTTTTTTGTGCTACCACGCAGACTTGGTAAACTAGAAAACAATGTTTTCACATATTTATCTTTTCAATATCTGAGCCTAGACATTTCAATGAGTTTCTCATAATATTTGTCAGAAAATAAATTTTCAGTATCGTTTCTTGAATTGCTATCCATATGATGATAATTGGCAATGTGATAAAATAAAATTTGCATATGCAAATTTTTCTTCTCTTCAATTTTCTACAGTATAGTATATCACTCATTTTCAAATATTTAAATCTGGTTCTTCCTAGCTTGGCTTTTTTATTTGTAAACATACCTTGATTGGGAAGTACTTCATCTGGGTCTGGGCAAACACAGCAGATAGCAATGTTAGGATCTTATTAGATTTTAATAATCGCTGAAATTTCTAGATTTGATGCATTTGCCAAATTTTATAACATTGTCGATGTTAATTACTGATTATTTGGTAAAAAAATCTAATGCTTTATCTATATTTATGCGCGGTGCAATTCTTAACTTTTTGTTGTAATTTATAATTAGTTTGATCACGTAAATTTTGTCACTCACTGCATATGTACTATATATTCTTTGAAGGCTGCAGTTATGTGTAGGTTATTTTGATCTTATAAATATAAATAAGATCAGTCTTACTACTAACTTAACGCCGCCAAGTACAATAAATAGGGAAATGGATGAAAATGGCTTTAACAGCCGTTTTCAATCCATGTCCCTATTTATTGTACTTAATGGCGTTAAGTTACTAATAAGACTAAGTTAGTAGTAAGAACCCGACCGTAATGGACTTTTTACCTGACATAAATTTATGTTTGAAATTAGTCGTCATCTGGTAGGAGTGACTATTCTGAACATCATTGAACAATTTTGTTTACTCTTATCATAATTTCTGCCCTGTGACATTATATGTTGTATGTGTACAAAATCTTAAAGTAGAATGTGGAAAATTTTTTCTTTATCTGTTCACAAAATAAGGATTAGCGAAGTTATTTCATATATATATTAATACATTAAATTTTTATATATTAAATGTGTTAACGGTTACGCAATATCTTGCTGCAAACATTTTTTATTGAAAAATTATTGCATTTCATTAATCAGATAGTCATATTGAAAATACTCTCCGTCAACTTGAAAGCTAAATTTTGCAATCCTAATAGAACCACAACTTGTATGACAACAATGTAATAGGAGTCTTAAACTAAGAAACTGTCAATAAGTTGATGACTCTGAGGATGAAATAGACTGGAATTCATCATCAATTATAAAAATGCGAAAATATTCCGATTTTCCTTTTTCAAGCATAATTTAATGCATATTTTTTATATAATTTGTTGCATGTAGCTTAATGGATTAATGAATGGATTTCAAATTTTAGAAAACAAGTTTGAAATTTCGGATTGCCGAGATCAGGATTGAAGATATCAAGTTGCGGATTTTGCTATTCAAGTTGGGGTGGTAAAATTCTGATCTGGAATGTTCATACACCAACTTCAAAAAATGTAAACATAATTAGCATTCATCATTTCGTATCTGTTTGAAATGATTAATGACATTACTGAAATATTTCGGTTATGTTTCCATTCTTTTATCAGTTATCACTATAAAGAATTACGGTCTCAAAAGAGACTTTATTGTTCCCGTAAATTATTTTCCGGAAAATATGAAAAATAAGACGTTCCGAAAGCTAATATTTTCTCTTTTTAATCAAAAAATGGAGAACTGTACGGATATTTCCCATCTTCATTCGTTATTCTCTTTATTGTAATAGTGAAACATTAATAGCAACTAAAAGAGAAAAAAGTTTAATATGAAAACAGGTTCTAATTTAAAACATTTTACAATTTTACATCGGAAAAAAAATCAACAGAATTATTAGCAGTGTTTCAGAACAGTAAGTTTTCAATGTTGTAAAAGTTTGAAATCAATCATTGCATCTTTCCTATTCATTAAAAGAGAATTGCTTGCACTTTTTCCAAATATAAATTTTACTTTCATTATGCGGCAAACTGGAAAAGCATGTATTCAGTGGTGGAGCAATCTCCCATATCAATGATATCAATTTTTAAATACATTCTTTTATATTATAATTTTGTTTCTTTGAAATTTTAACATAATCATGAAAATAACAAATATTGGCATTTTAAATAAATGGAAATATCATTAACCACTGAAGGTGATAATTAATTATCCAGTGGAAGGAAGGTTCTGATAGTTGTAGTGGAATTTCCTGTGAAATTAGTGGAAAAATAGGGATAAACTAACACATGTTTACAATGTTGCAATTTGCAATGAAAGTTTTTGAAGGTTGCTCAAGAACATAAGAAGAAATTAGTTCAAAATTTTTATTGATTAAGTGATTAAACAATTCGAAGATCAAATAAATTGGGTACAAATTATGAATTATTTGAAAATTCGCATTAAAATACAAATGGGTCATAGAATGATATTTAAAATCAACTGCAATACAATACCTATAGTTCAATTAATTTTAGTAAAATTTAAGAACAGATAGAAAATTGAATTGGTGAAAAAAATATAACAGTTGATAGAAATTGAAATGTATATTGTATTGAGAAATAAGAAATTTCTATGGCAAGAATAGAAGAAAGAGAGAAAGAGGAACAGAGAGCTAACTTAGAATGTAACTCCAAATATACTAATTTTCAATTTGAAAATTTATAGTCCTTAAATAATTTGTTACATGTTATTGCAGTTACCGGAGTAATTATTCAAAAAATAATTGATAAGCATTGTTCAGATAAACCATTCTTGAGGTAAATGGCCAAACGATTGCAATGATTTTGATAAATGTGACAGAATATTGGTTTTGAATTCCCAGCAGAAACAAAATATTCCTATTTAAAGCTATTGATTATCTCTCGTAGAGAGCAAGAGAAAAAGAAAAAAGGTCCCATTATGAATAAAAGATCAAAAAAATGAGAAAAAATTTGCTAAATAAAACAACATTTAATATTTCATGTGTGTTTATGTATATATAATGTTAAATTATTCCTATTAAATTTCTCCCTGTTGAAAACCTTTTCATTTAAACAGAAAAAAGTAATTGGAAATTAAAATATTAAGTAGTTTGACTAAGCAATTATGGTTGGTTCCAATTGAATAAGCATCGTTCTGCCTTAATCAAAATAAAAAAGTACTTTTTCTTCTAAATTCTGATTTAGTTTTCAGTAGTTGTTTAAAGTTAAATGTGACATAAACATGTATACAATATGCCCTGAGGTAATTAAAAATTTTATTAGTTAAAATGAAACAGAAAGGAAAGGGAAAACGATAAGGAATGATTTTTTTTCGTTTTATCAACTTTTCAACTGAGTAATTAAAGAAAAAACGAACAAGTTTGTTAGAAAAAATAATTTACAGGAGAAAAAAAACGAAATGATTCCATTTATCTATGATGTAATATGACGAAATCATACCTAATCATTCATTCTATTAATTATTAAATAAACAATGTGGTCACCTCTTTTGACAAAATATATGAACATAAAAAAGTTATACACAAGTATTAGAAAAATAATATTAAAAAGTTATATCTTAAATCTATTTTGATTATAATAACCTGCTGAGAAATCTCTTTAAAAAAAATAAAAAAGGTGTTTAATCTTGAATGATCTGGATTTTTTTTGCAGACATAAAGATTTTGAGGTAACTTGACGGCAGCAATTCTTGAAAAAAGTTGATTTAATTTTTCTTGTTTTTCATAATATAAAAAAGCAAAGAACGTAAGATACAATAATCTCGTGAATAGATTCATATACATCAAGCATTATTATCATTTCAGTATATACTGAAGTAATGATTTATCATTAAAGCAAAGTTCAGTAGAACTTACTTTTTTTTCATAACGATAATTGAAGTCGGGAATATATTTGTTATGAGAAAAACAAAGTTTTACTTTGAATTGATAGATAAATTTTAAAAGAAGTTTTTGTTTCTTCGTTCTATCAATGTATCACTTAATGATTTCGTTTTAAATCTAATTCAAAAAATAAAAATTATTGTATACGAATTTGGAAACTGTCTGAATTACTTACTATATCACACTTTCGTTATACCGCATAATTTTATTGCTTTTATAAGTCCTAAATCCTAAATGAGACTAACAGAAAATATTAATCAATTCGTTAATTAAAGTCAATAACTCAACTGGAATTCATAATTTATTATGTTATTAAAATTTCAAAATTTTACAATCGTCACTAGAAAAAATCAACTAGGTATTAGTAAGAGAAATAAAAAATTGATCAAATCGTAATGCAGTAATTATAAATATAATTCTTGTAAGCATTTAAATTTTGAATAGAATTTGTTTAAAATTAAGCAAACAAATTATAAATTTGTTTAAAAGAAAATTATCTCTGTAAAAGGGAAGACATGTCAGTTCGTTCAAACCAAATATTACCAAAACTTTAAACAAAGCTATTTAAAGTTAAATTATTCATTGCAAAAGTGAAGTATTTGACGTGGTTAACCGTACTAATTAAGCTTCAAAAATGCGAAATAGTTTTTTTTCAAAAAATTGCTATCGAAATGTGAAAATTGCCTTTATTCTTTACTTACTGTCTGTTATTTCATTTTTTTCCATCTTTTTTTGTAACTCTCTTCTGAGTTTTTAAAAAATACTTTCCGATTGATTTGAATTTCGTTGTTATTTCTGCCATTTTATATATTATAATTGCTTTCGTAATGAATGCTTATTTTGTCTTTCCTTTCTCTTTTTTTCGCTCTCTTTTCTATGATAGCAAAATTTTCTCTTTTTTTCGTGTTAAATGCTCAATGAAATTCCTTATAATTTCGGAAAAGAACTGGAATTTTTCCCGATCTCAGAGAATTATGATAAATTTTAAATATGATGAACACACACAAGGCACACACGCACTCATACATACATAAGCATGCGTGCATGAAAACAAGCAATGGTATATAAAAGGAAAATTGAGAACATCTGAAGTATACCAAAATTTTTTGCTGCACCTTCCAGCAATGAAATGTCAACAACCGATGAGTTATAATTTACTTTAAGTCTCATAATTTGTAGTTTCCCACTTTTGGAATTTTTTCAAAAATATAATTTTATAATTCATTAACAAAGAAGAAAAAAAAGCCAACTTATTGTACTCTAAATTTTCTTGAGTGTAAAGTTAGCATAAAATAATAGAATTACTGAAAGCATTATATTATATAAATTTTGAATTTTTTTAAATAAAAAATTTTATCACATAGATATTAAGCATTAAATTTACCATTTGCAGTAATGTTCAATGTTTGATGGAATTATTATTGGAAGATTATATTTGATAAGATAATTTGGGACATTATAACATTTACATTTCTGCCCGACTACAATCCTTCTAATCTGAATTTTTAAGCATTTGCGACGAATTATCATAATATCATGCAGCCTTCTTCATTAACATTTTTGTCAGAAAAAAGTGTCACAAAAAAATTTGTTTTCGCTTTTTTAATTTTCAAAAAAAATAATTTTTTTTTGAATAAAAAATTGCCCGATGTAAATGAAATAAAATGATCTTTGTTTTAATTCATTTTTATTGGAGAATCTTATGAGAACTTTCCATTTGTCAAATATCATAAACTTCTGCGCTTTTACTTTTTTCTTTAACTTCTGAATTGTCCAAATTTTTACAACAAATAATGATATAAAAAATTGCAAATTTTTGTCAATCCATTATGTTTAAGTATGCCAACAGTAATTGTTAGAAGCTGTTAACATTTCCCAATATTTTTCATCCAATCTTTTAAACTAAAATTATTTGCATAAATTATACTGGACGCTGTTCCTCTTTAATTAATAATTCAATTTTTTTTGATAAACAAAATTTACGATTACTTTTCACATCGTTAATTTCCATTAAAAAAGCCAGCAGTTTATTAAGAAATTAATAACAAATTGTATTGTTTTCGCTTTGATATAAAAACCAAAAATTTTTTTCTTGGGGTAATATTTTGCCGTAGAAATCCTAATCCTGAGACCTTAACCGGAAATCAGTAATAATTTCCACACGGCATCGTTGTAGAGTTTTTGTAACTAATGCAAATTATCCTTTTGATAAATGTTGTAAAAATGTGACAAACAGTAAATTTTAGATCATAATGTGGTTTCTATTGTTGTTCATTTCTGCTAAATTTATTTTTGGCCAAGGTCAAATTAGCCAGACATCAACTCGCTTCATCGCAAATTGTGACCAGGCGCCAACAGTAGCGATTCGCACCACGTGTTTAAGTGTAAGCTATTTTGATAGTATCACCACTACTGAATTTTCCACTTGAAAATGATTCTCTAAAGACTAGAAAAAAATTTTTCACTCATTTTTTAGCTTCAAAGAATAGCGAACAATTCGAGGAGAAATTTAGAACAACAGGCCGAAGTCATAATTCATTCGCCTGGTATCCCGGAACATTTGAGACCTGGTACAGTGATGCCAGGTTCAAGAGGTCAAGTTGCAAGCAATCCATATGATTGCATGACGCTTACTTGTCTCTGCCCTTATTTCTCGGTAAATTTCTTGCTAAATGGTAATGATTTACAGATTTCAAATTATTTTTCAGTTAAAGTCATTTCAAGTTAATTTGGAACTTGAAAATCGTTCTTATTTTTTTCGAATTTAAATAGACTCTAAATTTTTTTACAGGGTGGTATCGACCCACAGAATCAATGCATACTAAGAAATGGCCAAATTGTAGCAATGGCATATCGTAAGGAATACCGCACGCTTACCGAAAATGAGCGATTACGGTATCACAATGCTCTTAATTTGTTGAAACGAACTGGAGAGTACGATCGACTTAGCAGGGAACATCAAACAGTTCGTTGATTTTTTTTTCAATAAAACATCAACTAAATCCTGAAAGTGATTGGATAAAAGTGAAATTATTTAAAAAAGGGTTGGTTTAAATTTCATCAAAGTATTTTAAACTTGGCATTAAAATATCCAAAAAGTGAAAAAAGGTCAATCACTTTATACTAGAAAAAATAAGAATAGAGACTAAATTCAATTATTTTGAGAATTTAATACTGATAACCTTCTCGAAAGTTGGATATATCCTAATAATTTGTGGCCTAAGGTTGCAGCAACAGGCGGTGCACATTCTGGACCTGGCTTCCTACCATGGCACCGTGAATATATCAAAAGGTACTTATTGAATTTCATATTTTGAAAAAGTTACTTAAATTTGTCACTTAATAAAGCCTAATATTTTTTATTATCAATTCATTTTTCAGACAATTTTTAATCTTCCACATAATATCAAGTAATCGATTTTTTTTACTACTTTTATTTAGATTTGAGATTGCGCTCCGACTTATTGATCCATCGATTTCCGTACCGTATTGGGATTCCGTGCTGGATAGTTATTTGCCCGATCCAAGGGATTCCATTTTCTTCAGTCCACTTTTCATGGGTGAAACTGATTTCTTCGGCAATGTCATTAATGGCCCATTTGCATATTGGAATACGCTTGACGGACGAAATGCTATAATGAGGTTAGTAATTGGACCAATAAAGTGAACAAAAAATAAATAAATTAACTGCTAAAAATTTTTACAACACTGTATCTAGCTTTCTGATAAAGCTTATTTTTAGCGCATACTAAATAAATTTCGTTTATTAAAATTTACTTTTGCTTTCAGAAATCTTGGCCAAGAAGGACAACTTTTCACTGAATGGAGTATACAACAAGTAACGCAGCAAAATTCTATTGAAAATATTATGTCGTATACTGCACCAACGCAAGGTTTCGATTTTTTTTCTTTTTTCTTAAATCCATTCAATTTATTTATTTGTTTTCGATTGAATTTATTTTCAGTTCCAAAATTCAGGTATAAACGAAAAATACGGTTGAATTAAATACGACACTATGTTTTCTTCTGTTTTTAGGTTGTCCATATCCCATAAATTATGGTGCACTGGAATATTCACATTCTAATGTCCACCTTTGGGTAGGTGGTCACATGAAACCACCAGAACAATCATCCAATGATCCGATATTCTTTTCTCATCATGCATTTGTTGATTTCATTTGGGAACTGTGGCGACAAAATGTTCAGCCAATGTGGGCTCGAGAATTGGTTCATTTTCATTTTGACTTTTTTCTTTATTCACTGACAAAATATTACTATGATGTCATTGTGGCAATCAAAATAACAGTATCTTATGACTTCATTAATTATTATTTATAACATTTTTTCAATTTAATAAAACTTTTAATTTCGTATAAAAATCTTACTAAAAGTTCAAAAAAAACTTATTTTTCTTAGAGTTATCCACCAGACATAGCAGCATGTGCCGATCCACAACATTTTAGTTATGCATTAATGCGCCCGTTTTTCACTCTTTACAATCGAGATGGTAAGTTTCTCTTTTTTATATTTTTTTTACCAATATTTTTAGTTTAATAATATTTCTGCTTGTTAATTGACGTAGACAAATTTTATGATGTCATAAAAGTGAGAATGTGCTTAAATGTAAAAACCGGCTTAAGCAAACAACGCTCCGAAAAAGAGAAAGTTTTGCTTGGTATTTTAGAGAGAGAAAATAAATGGAACCAATATTTTAAAAGAGAAAAATAATTGGAACCAATATTTTTCAAGTAGTTCAATTTAATTTTAACAAATTTAAAATGGTATCAAATTATTTATCAAATAATTAATAGAAGTGAAAGAAGTTATTAAGAAATGAGACGAACATAATATGTGTGTAAGAAAATGAATAGATTCTTAGATTCAAAACCGGCCTTTTGGGCGTTTCAGAAAAAGACAAGTGAAACTTTTCTCAAATTAAAAATTAATCAAGAAAAGAGCAAAAGAATCAAATGTTTGGTAAAATTCCGAAAGATAATTTTAAGTAGCACGAAAACATAAACAAAAAAATGGAAGCAGTTAAGAGAAAATGCATCTAAATTGTTTAAAACAAGCAATAAAAACAATTAATAGCAAGTCCATATTTTAAGTTTGAAAATTTTCAAAACATTTTTTAAATGAACCAAAATTTTGAAATCTCAAAAAAAGAAACTTCAATTATTGGTTTGTAAAGTATCCTTCAACTTAAATCCAAAAATTTATTTATAAAATTAAAATATATTAAAAAGAGCAACCAATTTTAGTATTAAAAATAAATTTGCAATTTTCAGAACTTGAGAACGATAAAAATGTATTCATTTATAAAAGGCAAAAGTCATTTCAGGTTTATCGAATATGTATACAGATCAAATGTATCGATATGCGTTACGTCCCGGTTGTACGGCGGAGATACCAACTTGCGGTACACCATACCTGTTTTGCGATACCCGTGGCATTCCTCACTGTGTTTCTAAAGTTAAGTTATATGGTCTTTGTATCGGCTTTGAAGGTTTTGATGCTTGCTTCAACGGAATTTGTCAAATGGGACGATGTGTACCAGGTCCAACACCAGCGGTAACTTTTTTGTTGTAAAAGAAACTGCTTTGGATTGGTTATTTGAGAAACTCAAAGTTCTAAAAATCTGGAAGTTTTTTTTGGAATGAAAACGACATGTAGAATTTGACATCCTTCAAAATAAGTCGAAAAAATAAAAATTTAACTTTTTTTTGAACTGCAAATTGAATTTTTTGTCTTTTTAAAATAAACTTCTTATAACCTTATATCATTTTTAGCCTTTTGTACCACAAACACGTCTTCCCGAAGTGCAACGGATTGGAATTCCGCAAATACAAATTCAACGGCAATTTGTGGATTGCTTCAATCGACATCCATGCTGTGAAACTTGGGCTAATATCGGTGAATGTCGCCAAAATCGCAATTACATGCGACGATACTGTCAAGCTGCATGTCACTTTTGCAGTCCTCAGTTTAACATTAGCAATGGTTTTTTTTAAAATAGATTTCAATCACTATAACAACTATGATATCTCAATTAAGAGTGACATCATTACATTACTTATTACTTCCTTTTTTTTTCTCTCCCTCTAAAATAAAATTATAAATGCTCTAGCAATCAATTAGATATATGTAAAATTCTCTTACTTTAATCTTACTTCTCTATCGCTTTGTTTGTTTTTGATGATTTTTGAAATGGAAATGTTTCAGAATGTGTCGATCGTCACATTGCCTGTGGGCAATGGAGTATCAGTGGTTTGTGTCGGGGAGATTCGGATCAGTTTATGGAGGAAAACTGTCGTCAATCATGTGGCTTTTGTAATACTCTCAAAAACACTTCATGTCCAGTTCCAATATCGGTTGTTATTACTTTCTCTTTTTCCTCAAAAAAAAAAAGAAAAACTATTTAGCCTTTGAAAAAATTTGTTTAATTAGCGATCTAGTTATCTTATAATCTTATAAATTATTCATGATCTCTCGGGAATTGTTTCTTCATTTATCAGAAATATGACGAAACAAATTCTAATAGTAATAGCAATAATAATAATAGGGAATAAAGTGTTGATAAAATCATATTTAAAAATCGCCAATCAATAATTTATTTTTAAACAATGCACACATTTGTCTACTAACAAAATTTCTTGTCAACTAATAGCACTTAAAATATTTCAGGTTCGTTCACGAGCTCAAGCTTCTCTAACTAATTCAATGGTACGACCATCTCCAATCAGTGGTTCATCACAATTGCAACCATCAAAGAAAGATGAGCTAATTAACTTATGAATATATAAAATAAATTCTGCTTTATTAAGCTTGAAAAAACAATTTTATTCAGGAACTCAGTGATTTGAGATGTTGCAATCTACTGATACATTTATTACACCAAATCTCATTTCACCATGTAATTATTAGTAATGTACTTTGGAATTAATTATTCAAATCAGTGATTGAGTACATTTGTTCCATTATTTGTAATTACTTGTGATATTTAATTTATTTTCAAGTTTAGAAGCCATTTCATAATTCTTTCAAACTCTTGCTTACCAAAAAAATTGCATAGATAATATTTTAAATGAATTTATTTAAATTCATCACATATCTACTGCTGTTAGATCAATTGATTGCCTTGTCTTTCCTTTTTTTCTTAAGTGTTATCATTAATCTTTCACTGCTTATTTATTTTTTTAAATTTACCCAAATAAATTTATTCATTGCCATACCATTCAGTCAATCAGCAGAAAAAACAATTGCAGCAATCATTTTTCAACACATGGAAAATTTTAATGACATCATATCACATATGAGCGATAACAAACTATTCAAATTTGTAAAATAAAATGAAAGGAGCAAAGAGAAAGCACTAAAATTAGACTGAAATTAAATTTTTTGGGTTTCGTTACGTTGCCAACCTTTCAAAAAAATTGCGAAATTTCAAGAAGTCCATTATACATTTTGCAGATTCCTTCCTTTAAAAAACAAATTAAATAACAATAATTTTATGATATAATAAAACTTCCAGCTTGCAATAAAGCGACAGAATGAAAAAACTGTGACATTTTTTAAACATTATTGGCATCATTTTTTGCTGCTTGAAAAAATTTCAAATTTAGTAATTAACACTCAGATTTCATAAATATTTAATATAAATTATTATTTTCAAGGCAGAACAAAACAAACTTCCCAAAAAAATTTGGAAATTGAAATTAAACCGCCAATAAATAAAACTTCAATTTGTTTTAGATGATATTAAGATTACCGGATTTTATTTATTGTATTCGCTCTTAACAAAAGCAGAAACAAATAATATAAAAACAACTAAAAAACCAAAAAGTCGATATGAAAACGTTCCCAAAGAAAATATAATATGAAATCATTTTAAAAAAAAGTACAAAAATCTCCAGTAAATACCCATTTCGAGAGTCAGCATTATTATAAAACAAAAAAAATCTCAAAAAATTGAAGTTAAAATAATATTACCACTGAAAATAATCAAACCATCCACACTTAAAAGAAACAAAACGAAGAAAATAAAAATAAAACCAGCGGAACACTCCGACTGTGATTTTTTTCTTGGAGAGGGAAATAAAATGCATAAGAAGAAATATGCAATTGAAAACAAATTTTTTAATCCGTGTAAAATAAACGTGATATAAGATGATGTAAGTCTTTTTGATATAAGCTCTTTTTTTCTTCGTTTTCGAAAATTTAAAAAAAATTTTAATTTTAAATTGAAATTTTCAAATAAAAATTTTCCTTATAATTTTTTCACCAAATAAATATTAATGAAATTTAAAAATTAAAAATATCAAAATTGAAGGACAATAATTAGCATTGACGCTTTATGAATGAATTTTCCAGTAATAATGATTATTGAATTATTTCTATGTACTTGAAAATTTATTAATTATTTAAGAAAAAACTAATCTTAGCACTGATTATCTCACCAAAAAAGAAAAATTCGAAATTGATTAAGATGAAAAGAATTGGAAAATGGTGCTGGGAACCAGAAATGAAGAAAAGAGTATTTATTCAGCACTGAAATGCTTGAAAAGTATAATGATGATCGATGTAGTTATCTTATAGCTGGACATTTTGAAAATTTTTAGAAACAAAAAGAGATTATTACTAAATACGCTGCAAAAATTTTCCAAATGCTTCGAGATCCATCAGTTTATTATTGGAGATGAAAAAAGAAGAGGAGAAATGATGAAAGTAAATTTCTAATTGGAAAAATTTTAATCAATTAATAATCATCTCGTAAATGAAAAAAAAATTCAGACACCGTTAAAGCATAGTAAAAATAATTTGTTGAATTTTTTCATTTCGAAAAAAACTTTAAATCTTAAAAAAATTTGCTTTGGATGAGAGCTATTTCAAGAATAATAGATCAAATGGTAATAATATAATGAATATTAATATCCTGTAAGATAAGTAAAACATAAACTTGCACAAGAATGGCAAAAAGTTGGAGTAAAAATTTTTTGCGCTGTCATAAAAATTTTGTATAAACTTTCAAATTTTGAATTAAAAAAAGGAATTAATCTGTGATGTTTTAATGTTTGAAGAAATATTTCGCTTTCTTTGGAGAAAAGAAAAGGAAGAACAAAAAAGAAAAAGAAATAATCGCATTTGAAATGATGTGTATTTTGGGAATAAATTGAAGAAATGCAAAAAAAGGTGGTTTATAGTGCGACAGCGAAAGGTTGGAGAGAGAGAAGGAGAAGGGAAAGTGAAAGTTTTGCATAAAATAGAAGCATGAAAGTTGAATAAGAGAGAGGGAAGGAAAAAAAGAGGGGAGAATTGAAATTGTTTAAAATGAACAACGATTTTGATTTAAGTCCAATTTTTAAATTCACATAACAGGTTTGTTTCATTCCTTCATTGATTATGCAACATTTTGATGTAAAATTTTTGATAAAAAGTTGTCGAAACCAAAATTGTAAAAAGTTGCAATCGTCATAAATAGTTGTTTGAATTGAAATTGAAACACTAAGATTATGGTAATGTACATTACTTATTAAATTTTATTAATTTTGTTGAAATTATGACAGAGGTGAAATGAGAAATTGTTGTTATGAGAAGAAAATGTAATCGGTTATGAATGTTATTGCTGCTAGCTGAAATGGAAGAACGCCATGGAATAAAAATACTTTCTTTTTTTGAAAAAGAAAAAACGGGAAAGGAAAAAAAAGGAAGGAATGCTGTAGTATTTAAAGTTGAACGATGAAACATTTTTCTTCAGTAAACATAACAACTATTTAATTCTTAAAAACAAGATATTCATTACATACAGGTTGAATTTCAAAAATGCTTAGAGGCGGAGTTGAAAGTTTAATTTTGGATGAAATTGTATAAAAGAAAGATTTGTTTATCACTGGCGGTTTTCTCCGAGTGTATCGTCCAATGTTAGTATTTGCATTTTATGTTGTACTTTTGCTAATGTTTTTTCCTTTGCAATCGTTTTTGCCTTTAAGATTAAAATTTTAACTAAAGTTGTTATGCTTATAATCGGTACGTTTATATATGTAAATCATATAGCATTTTAAAATGGCATTATTGATTAATTATTGGAATTTTAAAAAAACTTGAAAAAAACGGAGTGATATTTTGTTATATGAATGATTTTTGTGCTAACTATATTAATCAATGATTTTATCATATAATATTTTTACTAATTTCCAGTTAATTTTGACCATTCACAAAACTTTTGAAGGGAATGAAGTATTTAGCAATAATAATTATCTATTAATATTGGAAAATAACATAAAAAAGCTCGTATAATTGTTAGGTATTGCAAAAATCTTCATTAATTGAGTGATCTTATAGGACTAATTAGTCCTTATTTTTCTGAAAAATATTAAAATATCATCAAAGTAATGGATGAATGCTAGTTCGAACTTTATAATTCCATATTGTAAAAGGAATATCTTTATTTAAAATTTCTTGTCAAATTAATATCATCGTAAAAATCAATCGATACTGTCATGTTTAAACGTCAGCCAAAATTGAAAAAAAGGACCTGCCCAAAAGTTTTCATTTATTCTACGATGAGGAATACTGTACTTCTATTGTAATATACCGTAATTTATTATAGTAAGCTTTAATTTTACTATATTGTGCACTGCTGATATATGATTCCTTGAAATTTATGCCATTTTTTCTCCCTCCTCCCGGTAAATCTAAAATTCTCAAATGTATTTCTGCAACATAAATCAAATCGTTATTATAATAATTCATATTTTTTCAAAAACATATGAGAATTTGGCTTTTATAAAGTTCTTTTTTGATGAAATTTTGGAATCGAATCAGGAGGAAAAAGTTTTTTATCAGTAATACATTTCAAATATGATACAATTTTAAAATCTATTTATTTATTTCTTAAATTCAATTAATTCTGCATTCATTTAAATGAAAATTTAAAATATGCAGTACTAACTTTGTTTAACTACTTACCGTTTTTAGGTCACTTAATTGGATCATTTAAAAAAATAATTTAATATAATTTCTCTTCTCAATCTTTTTCCACTAATACGAAATATCACTCTTTCTGTAGAATAGTTCATTTGCTTTAAACCCTTACTCAATTTTAAGAAATATGTTCGACGTTTACAACAATGACTTTTGTCCATATTTTCTAAATTTGCCGATTTTAAGATTTTATAAACTTCAGGGTTTACTACCACAAACATCGCTGTTTGGCATTCTTGCTTAATGCTGGAATTAAGTGGAAATCATACTAATTGTTATCAATACCCAATATTATTATTGCCTTAATCCAATATGAATATACTTTGGCCTAACAATACTTACATCTGACTTTCTCTCAAGAAAGATTCCTTTCAAAAATATATTCATACCTTTTTTGCTTCATTCTTTACACAAATGATTAATTGCTTAACTCGTCCCTTTCACTCTTTCACAATTTCGCAATTCATACCTTCTCTCAACTTATCCATCATTTATTCATTCTATGATAGTTTGCAATTGTCACGCAAAATCACGTAAAGAATGAAGCAAAAATGTGATAAATTCTCTTAAACCTCTACAACTATTAATTTTCACTTTGTTCAGTTCATCTTTCTGATAGTGCATAAATATTGATATGATAATATTAGTCTCAATCCAGTTTTTCGATAGCATCCGAAATGTTGACACCAATATGTTTACAGCATTTTTGATTCTTTTAATTCCATTACTTCGTATCAGCACAGTAATACTGAAAACTTATCAGTTTAGTATTTTATCAATTATTCTAAGAAAAAATATTTCATGTTTTCCTTTTTAGACTGAATTCTATGTTTGTTGTTCATTATCATTAAAATATAATTGTTCGCGTTTAGTAATACTTAATAATACGTGTGGCATTCATTCTTTTAAATCATACGTGCAATTTTCTGATTGAACATTTTCTTTTCTTTCTGTAACATTCTTTATCCTTCTCAATATTAAAGCTTGCTGTCAGGTTTAAACATAGAAGCAAAAAATAAAACTTAAAAGATGCAAATACCAAAAGTTTACTCTCTGTATATTGCCAGAAGTAAACATTTACTTTTTTTAAACCAGATATAACTGAGATTTTGAATACTTCAAGCTGCCCATAATGGCGATAAAAGTAATTACATACGAGTTCTCAAGGATATTCACAACAATTTTTGTGAGAAAAAGTGAATATTTAAGTTAATAAGAGGCGTAAATTAAATAGAACATGACATAAGAAAGAGAAATGTTTCGTGGATTCATTGAAATGTAAAGCAATCGTTTCAAAAAAGACTCCAACAAAAATGTCAATAAAGATTACATAAAAGGCATCAAATAAATTCAACAATTTAACATATTAGGCAATTTGAGGATCGAACAGCACGATCAAAAACCAGAAAAATTCTCTGAATTTAGCTATAGAAAGAAACATTAATATGCACTGAAAAAAATTGCGAAAACAAACTTAAAAAATTTAGAAAGAGAAATGGTGCTGTTGAGAACCACCAATTCTCTCATAAATAATTACGCAGAGCTTCCGGAAACAGGAAATTACATTCGTTTCAAATCAAATGATAACAATATCGCATAATGATAAGGAAAAAATTTTGATTATTAACTAATATTAGCATCGACAAATTTTCACAATGACTTGCATTTTATTTCTAATTCAAGGATTTAAGTAAAACTTGAAAAATAATTAAATCATTATTTAATTGAAAAACAATAATGCACATTACAATAAAACTTGAAGGAACGTTTAGTATTTACTAACTAGAAAAATAACTGCATTTATTAAAATATTTCGCTTTATTTATTTCTAGATAAATGTGAATAAACTTTATAATTGAAAAATCTTTGATAAAAATCTTGATAAAAAAAATCTTAAGTTTGAAAATTTTTTGAACATTAAATAAAATAAAAGTATGCTGTGTAAACATATTTAAATAAAAAAAAGAAAAAAACTGTGCTAAAAAAAGCTTAACCAGGAATTCATTTCTCCTTCCTGCAATTTCCTTTTCCTAAATTCCAGTTCCCACCTCTCTCCTCGGCCGAGAAAACCTGTTAAGAAATTGTTGTGATAAAGTACCAGATTAAAAGTAATAGTTGAAAATTCAATATTTGTTCGCTTCAACGATTACACGGCACTTCATTTAAACTTTCCATAAGCTAATGTTTTTAATTAACAATTATTTTACGAATTTTTCTTTTTTTTCTATTGTTTAAATTAATTTAATTGCCCAAGCAATCACAAATTATTTGTCAATATGTTGAATCAATTTTTTTATCTTTCGCTAAGTATTATTTTATTTTTTTGCAACATAAATGTTTATTTTCCATTTCAGCATACTTTTAATCTTTTGAGCTTCAATAAATTGAAATATCACTTGTACAAAATTTGTTTATAAAATAAAACAAACAAGTAATTTTTGTGTAATTTTTCAACTAATAAATTGTTTGGATTGCAAAATAATGCGTGACTGGCAGAAACGCAAATAAAATATTAAGCTAAAAATTTTCGCTAAGTTTTGAATACTTCTGCTAAGGTTTCAAACTTTCCTGATACCTTATTTGATGTTTTGCAATTTTTGATAACAATATACCAAAATTTCAAAAACCGATAATACTTAATTTTTTATACTTTTTTGTTTCTATTGCTTTTTATAGTGTTTTTCTAAAAGATAAGCAAAATACGAAAAACGAAAAAGTCATTCACTTATATAAAAAGCTTAGCAAATAAAAATTGTAGTTATTTCTAGTCTATGCCCATCCAACCTTCTGATTATTCAACTTGTTTGTAATTTTTGACAGTTAAAAAGAAAATCCTCCCATAAATCCCTAATTTACACTTTCTCATTTCTATTGATTAAGATATTTATTATAATCCATTTTATTTAGTATAATCATTCTGTGCTATTCTGTGGATAGCATAGAAGTATACACAGAATCCGATTTTATCTGATAGATAGGAGGTATCATTGCATAAATCGGTCTTATCCAATTATCTTGAAAAGATTTATGTTGCACCTCACATAAAACTTTCCTTTCATTTATGGATGAATTTATTTGCAAAATTAAAAGCGACAAAGAACCAGTTGGTTTAATTTATTCTGAGATTAAGCCAACAGCTAAAATTAAACTAATGGAAGACAGAATAGCTTTTTCTCATTTAGACGATAAATTTAAGAATATTTTTCATCATGATAAGCGCTTTAAGCAAAATCGTGATAATCAATCGATATTGCCATTGCTATTAAAGATAATATGAATTAATTGCAAAAAATGATAAAATTTTTTAAAAAAATTAATTCTATTACAAGTATATTGAACTGGAAACTGTTGAACGAATAAGTTGATTTGTAGTGATAAAGCATGCAAGGTCATCTTTATACAGTTGAACGACTTTTTTGCTGACCTCCTTTAATGTTATATCTTTCACAGACAACTAACGTTTTTTATTTCATTATTCAATTTGATTTCTTTTTGTCTTCTGAAATTTTTATCATAAAGTTCGAAAGATTTTTTAAAAACTCAAAAACTGAATATTTTCATATGAAATTTGAAGTCATACTTCAAAGAATTCTAGCGTATAATAAAAAGAAAAGTTTGAACTTTTTTTTTCAAACAATGATTGAGCAGTTTCAAAATGCTAATATTTATCTTTGTCCCTCCATTCAACTCAATTATTTATTAATTCTCAACAAGAAAAATTCTTGTTTCGAATTAATCTGCGATTCTTTCGTTTACAGGAGAATGATGGATTGAATTAAAATTGCTTTTCCAATACATTTTTTTGATAAAGACATTAAAAATTTATAAAATTTATCATGAACTTTAAATTGATAAAATTTTATCAAAAAAAATTTTTTGTTTTGAAATATATTTTCCTGGAATATTTAAGAAATTTCAAATGAATTAATCTTTTGATAAACTTTCATTTTTTTGGTTGTGAACGTGAGACGCTATTTTAATTTGTTGAACAAATTTAATAGTAATTAATTTTTGTACACGTGCATGCAAAACAAAAAATTGCCTTTTTTAGAACAAATGAAAATATTTTACTATATTGAAACATTGTTGTTTACTGTGGCATTTGGTCAACAGCCCATATTTATGCAAAACTGCGATGAAGCACCAACGCCCGAAGCGCGACATGTATGCTTAACGGTAAGATATTTAAGTCATTATCATCTCTTTTTTAATTTTTGAAAATTTCAACTTTTCCTTTTCAAAATTATTTAATAATCAGATATTTGCTTGCATAATATCATTCCTCTCATTTTTGAAATTCAAAGTTTATTGGATTTATAAAAAAAACCTAACAAAATTTTAATTTTTTGATACAAAACCTGAGTAAAATTTCCTGAAAACTAGAATTTTGTTAAAATTCTAATTTATTTTTTTTGATGAGCATTAAATTAACAGAATATTTTAGCTGCAGCAAATGGCTCGTAATTCGAGGCGTGAAATGGCAATAAATCAAAGAGTTCCGCCAACTCCACCCCAATTTCTTCAGCCGGCGCCGTTGAATCCGCTTGCAAGAGGTCAGATAGCGAGCCATCCGTATGACTGTATGACGATCACCTGCTTGTGTCCCTTCTTTCAGGCTAGTCAATTCAATTAATTATTGGAATTCATTACTTTTTGTTCATTATTTATTGATTTTTTTAATTTTCTAGACCCAAAAAATATATGTATTATGCAGTTATTCGTTTACTTTCCTGTTTACTCATTTCAAATTTTGAATTTCTTAACAACAATTTATAATAACTTTGTATGCAACTAAACTGAATTTTAGGCATTTTTTAAAAATAAAATTGAATTAATGAAAAAAAATGATAAAATGAAAGTTTTAAGGGTTCTATAGGACCTCAGAACCAATGCATACTACCGGATGGTCAGCTTTTGACCATGGGATATCGCAAGGAGTACAGAATGCTTACTGAGAATGAACGTTTAAGATTTTTCAATGCAATAACAATGCTAAAACGAAGCGGTGAATATGATCGCATGAGCTCCGAGCATCAGATGGTAGTTTAGTCCAAATTACTATTCAACTTTTAAATTTAAAGTTCTAAGCTTAAATTTTGAAAGACGAAGAACTATGAATAAATTATTTTTTAGTTGAAATCTGATCACATTATTTTTGTACTTGCCAAATTAGTTATCGTAATTGTTGTTGATTTTAATTCTGTTTAAAATTTCAATCTCGATTGACTAACATCTGGATTTCAGTAATTAGATTCAGAATGGTGAATGATTCTGATTTTGCAGGTGGGCCAAGGCAGTGGTGCACATTCAGGGCCCGGATTTTTGCCGTGGCATCGCGAATTTTTAAAACGGTACAATTTTGCTTAAAATTTTTTATTGTTTTCAAAATAGAAAAGGGAGCTTATTTACAAAATTTTAAGTTTGAATTTTCAATTTCAATTTAAGGTTTGAAATTGCGCTTCGTCTAATTGATCCGCAAGTGTCACTACCATATTGGGATTCTGTTATGGATCAATATTTGCCGGATCCAAGGGATTCAATCTTTTTTAGCCCGTATTTTATGGGTGAAACGGATCAATTCGGTAACGTAGTCACTGGGCCGTTTGCTTATTGGAGCACTATCGATGGTAGAACAGCTATTCTTCGGTATAAATTGTAGAATTTTGCTAACCAACTAATTAAATTTGTCTCTAATCATCCCTGTTTTTAAATTTGAATAAATTTGCTAAGAATTAGTTTCATATCCAGTTACTTTGCACCATTACAAAAAATTATGATCAAATTTTAAAGAGTTTTATTTATTCTTTGTGAGCAAACAATGGAATTCTTTCATTCTTTGTTCTGATTTGAAAAACTGTGAAAAAATTTTATTGATCAACGATGTATATTTACCAATTTTAGATTTGAAAAATAAAATAAATTCCTCGTTATTAATTTTAAATCAAAAAAATTCCAAATTTTTAGAGCACTTGGTGAGAAAGGAAAGTTGTTTACCGAATATGATATTATCGAAATCTTGTCACAAGTGTCAATTGAGCAAATTATGGCTTATACTGCACCATTGAATGGTATGTCTGTCGTTTTCCAACAAATGAATCGTACTTTGATTTAATTTAATTAAAATTTATGATATACCAGTAATAAATAACTTTTTTATGTTTATTTCTATGATTCAATTAAAAATTGCAATCATTAAGACTTTGAAAATTCCAAAATTTTGCCTGAACTGAAAAATTTAATTGTTTAATTTGTTTTTTAGTAAATTAACACCAATCAAACTGAAAGATATTTAGTTATTGGCTAAAAAACAAATTAAACAATTAAAATTTTCAGTTCAGATAAAATTTTGGAATTTTAAAAGTACTTCTTGCATAATGATTGCAATTTTTAAATTTTCAAATAAAATAAATGGATAATAGACAGTTCTGCAAATAGTTACACAAGTTGTGCTATTGGATCATAATTGGATAATTAGAAATCAAATGCTTGACAAAAAATTTGATCAAAAAATTAACTTATAGATACTTTATTAATTATCATGTGCACAAAATTTTCAATTTTGCACTGCTTTATTAATTTGCAAGATATTTGATTATTGAGTTTTAGTTATATTCGATGGATAAAATAATTAAATTTTGTTTAATTCATTTATTTCTTCTAGGCTGTCCATATCCGCCAGCATTTTCTGCTATTGAATATACACATTCATTTGTCCATCTTTGGATAGGTGGACATATGGAACCACCAGAACTATCCTCTAATGATCCCGTTTTTTATGGCCTTCATACATTTGTTGATTTAATCTGGGAGTTATGGAGACAAAGCCGACAATCACACTGGGCACGAGAAAATGTGTGATTTATTAATTTCATTCATTACGAGAGTCGGTTTATAAATCATGCTAGCATATTCTATTCCATAACAGTACTTAAACAACTTATTGAAGAATTTAAAGTTGAAAATAAAATGGAACTCAACTCTATTACTGTAATAATGTATTGAATTTAATAGAAAGAAGTACAGTGAATGTAATAGCAAAAGAAGTTTAAAAAATTTAATATAAAAAAAGAAATTAAAAAAAATTTATGAACAACTTTTTTATTATTTAATTTGTTTTAGTTGAATATTTAAAATTTAGCAATATTCGCAAGATATTGAGGAATGCACCGATCCACAGCACTTCAGCTATGCAGCCATGCGACCATTTAATTTAATCAATCGCGATGGTTCGTCTGACAGTTTCATTTTTTCCTTCTTTTCTAAATTTTTCTACTACATTAAATATAGTTTTGTTTCTCAATTTTGCAAGTATTTGTTTTCAAGAAATGAAAACAACTTTCTTGTTTGATAATGCTATGATTAGAAGTAATATTAGATTTATGATTCGTTAGGAGGAGTGGTTGAAGTAAATTACTTCTCCATTAACTCTTAGATTTGTTTTGGAATTAATATTTAGCCGATAGGGTTTTAAAATTTTAATCCTGCAAGATTATTAAATAGTAAAATATGTAGTATTGAAATTGTAATTTTTCTTTTAAGCCTTCGTTTTCTTTAATTAATTTTTTTTAATCCTATTTTTTCATGTCCTTTGGTTTTTTTATTACATTTAATCCGGTTTTTCGTTTTTTGCCTATTTTTTAAAAAAAAAACTATTGTAATGCTTAAATCAAATGTTACAAATGTTATGCTTAAATAATCTCAAGATTAAATGATAACAATTACTTCATTAATTTTCTGCTAATTTAATTTTATTTTTTGGATTTTTAAAACTATATGATTGTCAGATAAAGAAAAATGATCATTTCTATCAATAATGACAGGTACGTGTCAAATTCTTTAAGACGCACTTATCATTACTTTTATGTCATCATATGTCCCTCTCCTCATCTATCATTTTCTTTCATTTTTGTCTAATTACAATAATTAGATTCCAAAACATGCCATGTGAAATATTATGATAAACAAATTTGATATTAATGATAAAAATGACCATAAAGTTATCGATAACAAACATAAATTACGCAGGATTATGATAATATGAACGATGACGATAGCCTTAACGATAAAAATAATTATAATATATGATGATCGTAATATGGAACCTTTGAAAGCCTTCAGGTTTATCAAACCTGTACACTGAACAAATGTATCGGTTTGCTCCACGGCCAGGTTGCAGCTTCGAGATACCAAATTGTGGATCACCTTATCTCTTCTGTGATATGCGAGTGTCACCACATTGTGTATCCAAAATCAAACTCGGTGGCATTTGTACGGGTTTCGAGGGACTCGATGCCTGTTTCAACGGTATATGCGTAGCAGGACGATGTATTCCGGGCACTATGCCAGCTGTAATATTTTGAAGTGGAATCACTTCTAATTAATAGAGCACATTTAAAGATTTTTTTCATTTGTTTAAAAAGCGAAGAGGAAGGAATAAAAACAAATAAAAATTTAACACAAGAAATGATAACAATTTTTATTATAATACTTATTATATTTTGCATAATTTTCGTCTTATTATTTATATTTATATGCATGTCATCTCTCACAATGTCAAAATTTAAGAACAAATGGGCAAAAATGATTTTCATAACGAAGATGTTTGAATTTAACTCGAACTTAAAAAAAAATCCTTTTTCGCTAAAAAACTGTTGTCAGCCATTATATTATTAATTGTTTCCTATTAAGAATTTATCTTCAATAATTTAAACAGCTCTCAAAATAAATTATTTGCTTGCAGCCTTTCGTACCACAAACTGAATTACCGCCAGTCTTGGTTGGTGAAATTACTCGGCAACACGTAACCCGACAATTTAATGATTGTTTTAATCGAATGCCATGCTGTGAGCAATGGGCTAAAGAAGGTGATTGTCGTAAAAATAAGTTCCACATGGCAAAATTTTGCGCCGCTGCATGTAACAAATGTCGCCCTTCCTACAATGTTTCAAATGGTATAGAATTTTTCAACTTTTTTTCAAGGAATTTTTAAGTTTTAAGAAAGAAAGAATAAACAGAACCTTTTTGTTGCAAAAAAAGTGAGAAAACTGATGAAAATGCATTCTAATTGCATTATTTTGTAGAAAGTTTAACATTGACTGATAAAAGATGAGAGATTGACAGTGAAAATTTTCTCGTTCAAGAATGTAATGATCGGCACGTATCCTGCAAGCAATGGAAACGTGAGAATAGGTGCTTCGGAACTTCCAATGATTTTATGGCTGAGAATTGTCGCTTATCGTGTCAGTTGTGTGGAACGCCAAAAAATACGAATTGTGAAAGGCTTAAAGTTGTAAGTTTTCGAGTTTTACGAAAACATTTTGAAATGGTTATTGAATTAAGAACATTTGTATGATGTCAACTAAATTTTAATATACGTGAAGAAATTATGAGACATCTGAGAAGGAAAGAAAAAATTACTGTTATTCTCCGTTTTGATTTGAATAATTATATGAAACAAACTCCTAATTCCAATTTTAATGAAGCATTTTTTATATTACTCTGTTATATCCATTATTTTTTATTTTAATGAAAAATTTCTAGTAATAACCAGTAATAAAAAAGTCAAAAAATGCAAATTTTTTGCTTCAAAAAATTAACTTGAATTTTAAATATTTTGATGAAAAATTTTCACGTTAATCATTACAATGAAGCAAAAATCTCTCTAGATTGATAATTCTTGATTAATAAATAAAAAAGCTTTTAAAAAGTGACAAAAATATTGTTTATTATTAAAAATATCACTAAACATTAAAAGATGCTTGCAGGGAATGGCAGTTAAATTTAAAATTAAGTTAAAAATTAAACTTTCGATTTCAAATTCATAACATTTTTTGGTATTACTTTTAGTTCCAAAAGATTACTTTCACTATTTAAAATAATGAATATGTTTTTTAGCCTTTTAAAAATCCTAAACAGCCAAAATCGAAAATACCAAACGGAATTAACAATATTCAAGCGTCAAGCGGAAATCAAAACAAAAGCATTCATAGAAAAAAAATGCTTCTGCGTAATTTTTTGCAGACTTTTGCACAAATGGATCAATAATATCACGATCGAAGATGTCACCTTTAAGGCATACTTCATTTTACTTTATTTACGGTCTCAAAGTGAAAAAATATTTAGTTGAAAATGAGAGTTCACTTCGTAAACATTCAAGAAAACATATTTCCTTTTAATTTCAGATTCATGTTCATGTTTGTGTTTAAATAGATAAAAGTTATACGTGTCCAATTACGCATTAAGAAAATAATGATAATTTACAAATAGATCGTATAAGTTCGCAAATTGTATCTGACAGCTATCTTCTTGCATAAACTGATTAGAATGGTCCTCGTTATTTGATAGTTAAAATTTTTTGATATATCACTCTTTCTTATTTTCTTTGAAATGCTATTTATATTCATTACCATATCAATTTGTTCTTCAGGGTTAGGTGTTTGCGAAATTGTTATATTGCTGTAAGTTTATTATGAATGTATTTGCATGCTTTACCTTGTCGAACTATGGTTAACATTTATGCATTGGTCAAATTTTCAATCCATATATTATAACTAAGTTATCATTATTCCTGTAATTTTAATTTCAAGTTTAGGTCTAATTTTAAACGCTAGAGAAGCAATGGTTTCAATCTTTTTTTAAATTCTATTCATGCTAGTTATAATCTTTTTTATTATAATAGTTGCTTGCTGAGAGTTAGGAAAAAAATTTTTCTGAACGAATACATTTCGAAATTGATGATATTTTAAAAGATTCCGTAAAAGATATCATTTTCAAACAAAGGATTTATTAAAATTAATAAAAAACTGGATGGATGTTTTTGAGAATTCGTCCCACTGTGTTTAATAATTAAAAAGGAATAAGTATGTATTAAAAACAATTTTTATGCATTAGTTGTTCTGAGAAATAAAAACATCAAAAGATTTGTTCCATTTTGTTTTATCTATTTTGTTTTGTTTTTCTTTAATTTTTAGATTTACAATGTCATTTGTATCTCTTCTCCTTGAAAATACTGCCTCTCATTTAATATGCAAAAATTACTTTACTCTGCGCGATATAAAATGAATGATATAAATGATATAAAATTGATATACTGAATGATATAAAATTTGAAAATCTTCCATTTTTTCGGTATATATATCGAAACAATGTTAGTGGGCAGAAATGAACAAAAACAGATTACCAATTCTATATGACATCAACATATTGCAAGCATTATAATTTGTCAATTTATTGTTAAAAAATGGAGATTATTGATTGCTTTCTTCGTATGAAACAAACACAGCTTGGTGTTTTATATGATAAGAGAATTAAAAAACAATAATTAGCAAGTAGACGCGGTTCAAAGTGTCACAAACAATTATTAGCATTTTTATTGATGTTTCACAGACTTTTCAGGTTAACAAATGTGTGTAGAAATGGTAACTGATTGAAACCAGACTGGAAATTAAATTTAGCATTCTAAAACGTCGTTTTTTTCAAATAAGTGATACATTTACTGATTTCACGATTTATTTCATATAGACTAGAATTGTGTCAGATGAATGTGGCTAAAAGATTCTATCACTCGCTTGCAAAAGACTATGGGACATGATCAATTCATAATCCTAAGATATTACATATTTTTAACCAAAACTAGAAATTTGAACATCTGACAGTTTCCTTTTCTTCTTTATTCAACTCAATTTTCTTCGTTCAACTTCAAAGTATTTTTTAAACTTCAAAAATTAATAATGATTAAATTTTAAGGTAATAATTCTGAAGACAACCTGGTTCAAGAGTATATCGGCGCAGAAATCTCCTTTACAGCAACACATAAGTTGTTGAAGAATGGAAAATTTTCGATAAAATAAGTATTTCTCATGCATACTAGTCATCCATTTTTATATTTTTTGCAATGTCACGATAAATGTAGTGGATTGTCGACTGGAAGCATACCAACTGCTTAATCAATAGAAGGAGGATTTAACAAGGTTTTTAATAGAATCCTTTAATCTACTTCTTTTCCAATTTAAAACCAAAACAGATAAAATACTTAAAATTGGTACATGTAATTTTTCACATAGAATAACTAGATTATTTGCTGACAAGATAAGTCTATCCCATTGTTAGCTCAATTTTATCGGATTAAGTCTCATTGAATTTCATGCTAATTATATTTTCCTTTATTGGGCTTCTAATCAATAGTTCTTCATGTCAAAAATCAATTTATCCGATTTAATTTATTAATTAATCGAATCTTTTTGTCTCTATTGATTTATAGTTTAAAATAAAAACCTCGAAGATAGGATTAGTTTCAAAAAAAAAAAAACATTACGTTTATTACCTCTAAAATCAAATAAGTTAGCAGTTAGCATATTTTTTATTGTTTCCAACCCATTTTTATAGTGCGACAAATTTTCCTATCTGAGACAAATATTTGAATAGAAATAATTCTTAATATTGTTAACTTTGATAAAAAATAACATGTTCACTTCCGTTGCAAATAAAAAAATTACATTTGAGCATTTATAAAAAATTTTAAACAATATATGATTCATAAAATGCGATAAATCGATTGGGTCAGACTACGCGGCATGTCGTCATATTTTCAGGAAGGGAGAACTGAAAAGAATGTTATATAACAGACGTGGTCGTCCGTGCAGTCCCAAACGGGATCATTTTTCCGTGTTACAGGAAGGGTGCAGGAACTGACGTTATGGTTTCCTGGGCAGGTATTTAAATCCATCAAATCTTCACAGGTTAAATTTCCAGATATCTAAAATGATTTGCGTGAAGTTAAGGTGTTCAAATTTGGGATGAAGGTAGGTAAATTCAGTAATGAAAACTCTGAAAATGAAAAGGGACTGTATTATTTTTCATTTGGTATAGCATGACATTTTAATTGGAAATTAATGAAATAAAAAATTTCAAACCTTACTTCGCCAATTCCTATACTGATGAGCCATAATTTTAATTAGAGGACATAGAAAACCTGGAAAAGATGTTCCAGCATTATCGTAATAAACAATATTTGCAGGATCCGCTACATTTTGTTCTTCAGTTTCATTCCCAAGAACTAATGTCTAGGATTTTTATTTCGTTACAATGTGTCATTTAATTTTTTACTAGAGTTTAGCCAAATTTATGATAGATTATATATTTTTAGAATTCAGCCTGTAAATGACATTTTACTATTACCAAACATTTTCAGATGATAATTAAAGCAGTTGAAGGCAATAATCTCATAAATTTCTGATTTTAAGAAATTAAAGAAAAGTAAAAGTTTCAAGAAATCTAAGAAATCGGTTGATAAAGAACATTTTATCACTGCGTATATCTCCAAAGTTGGGTGAAATTTTTACACCATCGAACAAAAAGCATAAACTTATTGAGAAAATATTATCCTAGTCGTCAGAAAAGCAAGCAGTCCAAGCCAAGTATTACTGTTAACAAATTAATTATCGAATAGATCGAAATCTCGACAACCCTTACACCCTACAACTTGCAAATAGGTCACTTACATCGTAATTTTATTCAGTGGTATGATCAAGTTGATATCTTGAAAGCATTTTATTAAATGCGTAGACGGGAATTTCACAATACATGTCGCGAAAGTCGCGAAAACTAAAAATTTTTAAACAAATAAAATTAGGAATGAAATCCATATGACTCATTCTGCATTCCTTCAAATTATTTCTCATGACATTCTTGTATTATCTAAATCCGCATCTCTGTATTCACACATTTTGGTACGGTATTGCCTTTGTTAGCAACGCTCAAACGCATCTGCACATCTTTGTTTAGACACCTATCTTTATCCATATGCTAATCTTCCATTATCAC